GTGTGTGTGTGTGTGTGTGTGTGTGTGTGTGTGTGTGTGTGTGTGTGCGTGCTCACACAGTCATGGGTGTGTGTGTCAGAGAACAGCTTAGAGGAATCAGTTTCTGCTACCACGTGGACCCAGGGACTCACTCAGTTACACCAGCTCCGGCCACGGATCCCTTTCTTTCTCCCTGACAGGTGAAACTCTTTCTCTCTGTCTGGGTAATCTTGGTTTTCTGTTTCCCACTTCAGTGTTCTCTGCCAAGCTGATCCATTTCCCCAATAACTTGCTCTGTCTAGAAACCTGACTGTGACTTTTCTGTGACCTCACATGGGCATTTCCCTTCCACGTGTTTCTGTTTGTTTGCTTTCCCTCTTTCTTTCCTTCTTCTTCTTTTCAAGACTGGGTTTCTCTGTGTAGCCCTGGCTGTCCTGGACTTGCTGTGTAGAACAGGCTGGCCTCGAACTCACAGAGATCCACCTGCCTCTGCCTCCCAGAGTGCTGAGATTACAGGTGTGCTGGAGCCCTCTGGCAATGTTGAACAGTTCCTGAGTGGAGAGTGAGGATTGAAATAAAGCAAAGTCACACTACACACGGGATCTGCTGTCAGTAAGACTGCAGTGGAGTTTATTCCACAATTCCTTTCTTATAGGCAAACTAAGTCAAGCCAATGCAAGAAAGAAGTTCATGGACCTGCCAGACTTGTTTTCTAAAACTTCCCTGGAGCAGATATGGTCCAAGGTCACACAAATAAGTTGTTTTAAGGAACTTCCTCTTTTCTCTGTCTCGGGGTGAAGGCCAGGGTGAAAACATGTTTTTCAATAAATAACGAAGCAGCTTGAGAAACAAGCAGCCCTCCATGGCTGGCTGCTTCTGCTTTCCTTCATCTTCTGTGTCCCTCTAGTTTATAATCTCAGTCTTTCTCTGGATCAGAAGGGCAGTTTTCTAATCTGTAATTATTGCTGCCTTTCACCGTTTGCTCCCTTTTTTCTGGAGCCAGGAACTCGGTGTCAGAACTATTGGGTCTAGAGTCAAAGCCTGCTATTTTTCTAATTATTTCTATCTCTTTCTGGAGCCCGCCAGCAGAGTTGAAAGGTTCTTGAGTCGAGAGTGAGGATTGAAATTAATAAACCAACACACAACACGTGGGAGCTTTCCGAGGCTCTAGTGGAAGCTGGACGCCTTGCTTTATTCCAGAGTCCTGTTAAGCCTGAGCAAAAGCACCTCAGCACAACGAGTAAATTCACAACGAGTAAATTCATAAGAAAGTCAAGCAAAAGGTGTGACTTTGACAAGACATCCCACCTGCTGTCTCAAACAAAAGGAGATACACTTGGAAATTTATCAGTGACTCCAGTGAAGGCCGCAGTGAAAGCAGTCTTTCCGCTGAGATCTAAATATCAAAGCAGCCTGGCAGACCAGCGGCAACCAGCCTTCTCCCCCTATTATTTTCTCTGTGCTTTGAAAATTTTCCACTTGTTCATCCAAGCCACTGAGTTGAGTCTTGCCAATAACCATTCTGTCCCTCAATATATATACTGGGTTTTTTTGTTTTGTGTGTGTGTTTCGAAATAACCATTTTATTTCCAGAAAGTAATGGAGTTTGGGGTCTTTTTTAAGATTTATTTATTTGTTATGTATACAATATTCTGCCTGCATGTACACCTGCAGGCCAGGTGCAGGCACCAGATCTCATAGGTGGTTGGGAGCCACCATGTGGTTGCTGGGAATTGAACTCAGCACCTCTGGAAGAGCAGCCAGCGTTGTTGTTAACCCCTGAGACATATCTCCAGCCTGAGTTTGGGGTTTTGGACAAGGTTTTGTTTTGTACATGACTTGGCGATATTTACGTGTTTCTGACTGCTAAGCTGTTGGACACCTGTTCCAAGTGGACCCTATGTTTTCTGGTGGGCAGCGAACAGCTGGTAACTACATCTCTACTGGGCCACAGCTGAGTCACTGTTTTCCAATAGCCCATGACCCTGAGCTCTGCTTAGAGGTCCCAAAGATTCAAGGGCAGCGACAGAGCTGCCTGCAGGTGTCCTCGGCAGGCCTGAGATGGGGCCCTCACTGTACACACTCCCTGCTGGCAGCAGCAGGGTCCTGATTAAGGACAGGTGTCCCAGAGACCCAAGCGGAAGAAACGGAAATGTCTTGTTAACAAGTTTTGAAGCCGGAGGAACTGCCTCAGGGACGCCTTAATACAGGGTGTTGTACACACCCCGAAGTCAACCCAAGCGTTTCTGATTCACTGAGTGAGGATGGAGGCCAGAGAGCTTATTCTCTGAGGGGCATGCAGGGCGGGCCGAAGCTGCAGGCTTTAAGAACCGACACAACCGTGAGGCCTAATTCGGATCCCAGCACACTTCCTGCCAGCTGCGGTCCTGCATGCCTGCAGGAAGACTAGACGATCAACAGGGCCGGCTAGGCTCAGCCAAGACACTGAACCTCAGTTCGTGGAGACCGCGCCTCCCAAGGCAGGGGGAGCGGGGTGCGGGCGTGGCGCCCGGGCCGCCGTCTGACCTCTGCCCAGACTCTTCCGAGTAAGCGGTGCGGAGCGGCACGGAGTATTGGGACCGGCTCTCTGTCGCGTGTGTCTCAGGGACTAAAGCCAGGTTGCCGGGCCTGGCGGAGCTCCTCGGAACCGAGCAACCCTGCCAGCGCCGGGCTGCTTTCTGTTTCCTTTTGTGGGTTGGTAAGGACGTTGGTTCAAAGTCAGGCAGACCGCCTCCTGCTTTCATGCTGGTCCTTCCATTTGTTTCTGGTGCTGAGGTTTGTAGGCTGCCTGTCCCGCCTTTGTGAGGACGGACAAGCCCTGACCCAGCCCCAGCTCCACCCCACACCGTGCAGGTCTGGGTCCGGATGGGCCGTGGGGGGGCGGGCCGCTGCGCTCCTTCCACCACGTGACTCCTAGACCACAGGTTGGCCCACTCCATAGCCGTTCCACTGCAAAGCCGCTTCTCCCAGCCTCAGGTAACCGCTCCTTCTTCTTTCCCGCCAAGTTGCTCCCAACAGCACGCAGACAGCCCCCAACACACACACACGCTCAGTGATCTCCCAGCTCTACCTCCTTTCCTGACCCTCTTCGCCATCAGGACCAAATCTCCGGGAAGAGCGGTGATCTCTCTGCCTGGATGCCCATGGCAGTTAGCATTTACTTAAAAATGCCGTGCGCGTAACAGATCTGACTGGAAAGAGTTGTAGTGGGGGAGGGAAGCGGAAAAGAGTTAGGGCATGTTGGTCCTTGTATATCTGGTGTGCCACACACGGGGGCGGGGGGGGGCACATGAAGACCTAGGTTGCTAGGCAACCAGGAAGCAGGCTGCCTAAGGCTAACGCCGCACCGAGTGGCTTCTACAAAGGCCCTGTGGTAGCATGCGATTCAGGCTGCGGTCTGTACCTGTTACTGTGCTCCCTGTTATAGGGCCCCACTCTCAATACTTGGCTGTAATGCAGTTTTATGTCAACGGGACACAAACTAGAATCATCCGAGAGGGGAACCTCACTGAGAAAATTCCTCTGTACAGTCGGTCGGTAGGCGAGCCTTGGGGTATTTTCTTAATTAGTGATTGATGTGGGAAGGCAATGCCCACTGGGGGCTGTGCCATCCC